GCCCCAGTCTTCCCGCGGTGTCTGCGGCGCGCACGCTCCTCGCACACAGCCCTGACTGAGGAACCTTTGTTAGCACGCGCCCCGCGCCGAGGGCTTCACAGATTGAGACGGTTTACCCGGTGCAGAAGGCTGTAAAGGAGGTATTTCTGCCTTTGGTTTAGGGAGGAGGGGACTGAGAGGCACAGAGAGGCTGAGTAATTTGCTCGGAACGCCCAGTAGGCTGTCGGAGCAGCTGAGCCTCCAGCCCTGGCAGTCTGACGCCGCCGAAGTTCACCCCCTTTTTTCCCCTGGGCTCTCCCCACCCATGGAGAATGTATGGGGACCTGCCAGCTCAGCTCACGTCAGCTGTACTTTCCCCAGATTCCCGAGGAAATGGAGCCCCGTGGCTTCTCCAGAGTGGGCCCTGCTCCACCTGGAGGGCGAAGGCTGACCTGGGCCGAAGTCCAGCCTCTCCTGGAAGAAAGGCAGGAAGCAGAGGAGAGCAGCTTGGGCGGGGTGAGGTTATGAAGATGGCATCAACTATAGGTGAAAGCAGGAATTGAAATCGACATTCCTGGAAGGTGGATCAGACGTCACCTCTGATCAGAGGAAGTTCTGGCCGGAGTGACCTCAGCCCCAGGTCAGCTCCGTGGGAAAGAGGACATACCTCGCTGGCCTATCATTTAGGCTTCTTCTCCCCTTCTTCTCTAGTGAAGCAAACTTAATTCCTTCCCATTTTCTTCGTGCCTGATTGGTATGACATTTTACATAAAGAGACAAAATCCCCATCCTTAGAAACAGAATTGCCCTAGGAAATTTAAGATTTTAATTTCTACCATCTAGGAAAGCCTCACTAAAAAGTTGTCACAAATTAAAGTGTGAAAGCACACTCAGCCTCATTTTTAAGTGAAGAATTTTCAGAGTTGGTAAATTTCGAGGATGTTGCAGGTATAATTGTTTGCAGTCTTTAACACGATTAGTTTCAGCTCTGCATTCAATTTTCTCAAAAAAATTAAGAAAATAGAGTTCAAAACCTATAGCAGACAAGATGGCCATCCGTTTATTGATAACTATAGGAACTCTCCATGACCCAGCATCTCCGTGAAGACCATTTTCATGGGCCAACTGATAGCCTAAGTGGTTTCATATTTTTCTTTGCATGTAGGAGGTTTATGATGTTTCTAGGTGGCTTCAGGCTACATAAAGGACGAAGAGGAGAAGGTAGGAAGAAATCAGTAGGTGGGAGATAATGGAGAAGGTGACCAGGAAAAGGGAGCAAGGAAATAGAAACCGTACGTGGTGGTCATTTACTACCTGTTGACTTCTGGGGCTTCACATGTGTCAGCCCATTCCATCCACCCATGTCTTAAGTGGATGCCAGCCTCACCAGAACCTGACATTTAGCCATGTCAGTCAATGCACCAGCAGCTAGGATATAGCAGGGCATAGGTTCAAATCCAGGGCGATCTAAGTAGAAACCTAACATTTGAGAACGACGCTGGGGACCGAGGAGCAGTCCCTGGTAGAGTGACTGCTTAGCATGCAAGAGGCCCTGCATTCAATTTCCCGCATTCAAACAGACACCCCCCAAACAACAAAAAACTAAGATAACACCCTCAACAGTAAGCTGGAGAATCACTTTCTCTATAGAGCCTTTCACATCTGCTTCTTCCTCCATTTCCTTCTTCGTGCTTGTAGAAGCTTTTATCCAAGGACCTCTGAGCTACATGTACTTCATTTATTTATATACTTACTTAAATCTCTGTTTCCCATAGTTGAGAGCATGAATGGATATAATGCACTGGGATTAACAGAACAGAAATGGAAAAAGGAGGCTATTGAAAAATAGGGAAGAGGGCGGAGGGGTCTAGTTCTGAGGCAGATTACTTGTCTAGCTTGTGCAAGGCCCTGGGTTCCATCCCTAGTGCTGACAATAAAGAAATACATAAAATTTGAAAAGTAGAATAGAATTACAAAATGGTTTTGAAAGAAATAATGCTCTTCCATAATTAAAAGGGGAGGAAGTTTACTAAGAGTAGAATGTGCGAGAAAAAAAAGACTAACGAATAGATGTTAAACCACAGTTCTAACTGCCAGCGCTGGACATGGGTTGGTCTTTACATGCATTGGCTGATTTAACCCTCCAAATTGATATCATTAATTCAATTTTATAGTTGAGGACATAGATGTAGTGTGAAAGGCCAAAGAGCTAAGGAGTGGGATTTGAGCCTAGATTTAGACCTAGGACTATTTATTTATTTATTGCATTTTATTTTTTCGGTTCCGGGGATTGAACTCTGGTCCTTGCTCTTGCGAGGCAGGCGGCGGAGCCGCTGAGCTAAATCCCGGCCCTGAGGACTATTTTAAATCAATCCCTGCGCCTCAGACCACTGACCAGGAATCCTTGCGCCAGGCGTTTACAGAAACTGTGGGCCCCTCACACCCAGGAGAGGCTCCCGGGCAATTCCAGGGTCAGCCTCGGGTCTGTGGCCCCCAGGGCGTGGCCCCCGGACACGGGGGTGGCAGGCAGACGCTGAGGTCGGGGAAAGGGCGCCCCTGCCCTTGGGCTCCGCCGCGCTCAGCTTCCCGGGCCTGGCCGCCGACCGTGCGCTTCCACTGAGGCCCAGGTCAGGCGGGAAAGACGCGTGTTCTGCGAGGGCGCCCCCTGGGGGAGGAGTGATTCTTCTCTCCAGCTCGGTCCTCAGCCTCTGTTCAGCATCTCCTCTCCCTTCAGGTCTGGACTGGTGACTTTTGTGTGGGTCCCTTCGGGCGCCCTCCGGCTGCCCACGGGGTTTTCCCGGGCCGAGCTTCCGGGTCCTCCTCGTGGGAAGGGGCAGGACGACGCGGCGGACCGGACCTCGGACGGAGTGCGATCCGGGCCTGGTTTGCTTCCACGCGGCTCCTCCGGTGGCTTCTCCCCCCACTCGTGCTGTGGTCTCTCCCATCTGCTAAGGACAGAACTCCCTCCGCCGTGAGTATTAACTCTTCCGAGGATCACACGTTAATGGAAGGGGTAGACCCTTTTCCCGTTAGCATGACATTGTAAAGCACTAGTGCTCCAGAAAGAAACCAAGATTATCCTTTGCAAGTAAAACAAGATACCAAGAGAATATGTTAAATCTCAGCATTATAAAAAAGGAAGAAAAAGAAGAGAACAACGTAATACACATTTTGGAAAATACTGAAAGGAGAGGTGCCCTCTAGCCAGTGTGAGATTACAGATAATCTTTACTGTGCTTTTAAACCAAAATCTCCAAATCTGGCCACCATTTCCCGAATTTTCTACAATCAGTATAAATTAATTTTAAACATTAGTTTTTGTGAAACTGAGACTTCCTCAGTGGCCTCATATCTGGCCAATTTTAGCAAACAAACCATATATGTTAGAGGA